ATATTACACTTCACCTCTCCATTCCTGTCAGAGTCAGGGTCATTTACGCTTAGCATTGCAATTACAGTACTCTCAGGCGAGTCTTCTAAAATGGCATCTGACTTAGAGAGTATTTTCAGCTGAGGGCTGTTGTCATTCACATCAGTAACATCTAAGAGAATCTTACTGGAATCAGAGAGCCCACCATTGTCCGTAGCTTCTATATCTATTTGGAAGAGCTTCGTTTTTTCATAGTCTATTTGACCGATCACGATAACCTCTCCAGTTTTTCTATCAATCTGAAATAAATCGGACAAACGACGTTTGCTATTGGAAATTGCGTATGATATTTCCCCGTTAGAGCCTCCATCTTTGTCAGATGCTCTAACAGTTATAACGCTGGTTCCAGCCGGTGAATTCTCGGTTATTGTTGCTTTATATACTGGCTTAGTGAAAACTGGTGCATTGTCGTTTGCATCCAACACGTTAACAGTGATCTGCATTGTACCTGACATACGCGGCTGCCCGCCATCCAGAGCAGTTAATAATAACAATATATGTTGATCTTGCTCTCGATCCAGAGGCTTCTGTAGAATCATTTCCACCTTCTTACTCCCATCCGCTTGGTTCTCTAATTTCAGCGCAAAGTTGTTTGTTGGATTAAGGGAATAGCTCTGGAGACCATTTGTACCGATGTCAGCATCGATGGCTTTCTCCAGCACAAATTTAGACCCAATAATGGCTGACTCGCTGATTTCGAAGCGCTTTTCGCTCGATGCAAAGCTGGGAGCATTGTCATTAATATCTGTGATTTCTATTGTTATTCGAAACAGTTCCATCGGATTTTCCAGAATCATCTGTAAAAGTAAAGCACAGGGCGTCGTGTCGCCACACAGCGTTTCTCTGTCTATCCTTTCTTTTATAAGGAGGACACCACGGTCTCTATTCAGCTCAATATATTCGGCACTATCTCCAGAATGAACGCGCGCTCTGCCGGATTTCAGCCTTTTAATGTCTAAACCTAAATCCTGAGCCACATTACACACTAAAGACCCTTTCTCCATTTCCTCAGGAATGGAGTAACTGACCTGCCCGAACACCGAGGTGAGAAAGAAAACCAAGAAGAACAACAGTACTTGCCGCCTCATTGCTTTGCAGGGATAATCCTGTGTCCTTTTAATAAAACTGCAATCCACACGAATCATGATAATAATTCCGACCATATCTCAAAGACAGTTTCAGCGAAAAAAGAATAACTTTTCGATCTCCGTAAGCGGTATTCCTTATAAAAGAGAACAGGCGGTTACTGTGCGTTTCATTGTCTACCAGTGTGCAAATCTAAAGGGGAGGTACATTTTTCAGCGTTGACGAACGCTGCCATACTCGGGCCAATAGCGGCCCTTTCTGTTCAACAGACCAAACAGCAAAATCTGGAATGAGGATTATGATGATGCTCATAGAAAACAAAAACAACAACAACAACAAC